TGCAGGGGTCAGAAAAAGAGGGATGGTGAAATTATTGGATCACACGGAAAGCACCGCTATTCAGATGAAGAAGAAGAAGAGAGGGCTGCAGAAGGAGAAAGAATTCGTTTCCTCTCGGTAGAGCGTGCCCGGGGTGTATGAGGTCATGCAACACGGGCTGTGGGTCAAACAAACAGTTTTGCGGGGTCGAAGACAACAGCGCCGTGGGTCGGAAAAAAAGGCTTGGTGGTCAGAAAGAAAGGTTTGTGGGTCAAAGAGAAAGGATTGCGAGGGTCAAAAGCAAAAGACCGCGGGTCAAAAAGAACGGCTTGCGGGTGTCAAAAAAAAGGACCGTGGGTCAGGAAAAAAGGATTGGTCACGGAATGCTGGGGGGTCAAAAAAGAATTGTTGGGGGTCAAAAAGAAGGTTTGGGGGTCAGAAAAGAATGCGCGCGGGTCAAAAAAGAATGGTTGTGGGTCAAAAACAAAAGGTCGAGGGTCAAATTAAACGGTTGCGGGGATCGCACCGGGTTCTACCACAAAGCGGACCTTGAAGAAAGCATCCCTGCGTTTGTCAGCAGGCCCGTGTTCGTCTGCTTGCCAAGAGTTCGTCTGCAAAACAAAGAACCATCATGAATCATCACAGCCTATCACATATGACTCTGACAGTACTCTTTCATTTATCGGTTGATTCAGAAATGAACTACCCGACCTCGAACACGAAGGGATGATTTCGGCCAAAGCCCATTTCCCGGTCCGAGAGGCTTTCGTCTTCGACTCTTGGATCTCAGACAAAAGGTGTGGATCAGGTTCGTGTTCATGCAAAGCAAACTGAAACACAGTGCGAAAGTCCTCCCCCGGAGAAACAAAGAGAACTGGCAGTTCAGGCCACAAAGTGTCCAGAGTGTTAAGCTCATCCAAAAGTGACTGGAAAGGTGCACGAACTGTAGCGGCGGCCGCGCAGCTAAAATACCTATGGAACTTAGTATCCTCCTGACCACACCACAGACAGTTTGGGGTAACTGGGAATCCCAAATGGCTTGCTGACTTCGAGTTTGGAAGGCACCAGCAATCTCCCTGATTAACAGTCTGCGCTCCCTAGACGTGAACTTATCAAGGACCTGCCGAGTAAGATGCTGGTTGATGTCAGGAAAGTTAATCAAAGTTCTACGATGGGACTGAGTAGTCAGCAGTTTTTCCTGCCAAGATCACTCAGCAAACCACACAAGAGTTCGCCACGGAGTGGACAGAAAATGGAGCTTGACGAAAGCAGTCACACCAAGTTGACCTTGAGAATCAATGGACCAACCAAGTCGCCTGATATAGGTCTTCAAAGTGGATGCTGGACCTCTACAGGTATTAGCTCTAGAGAAATATTGCGCAGCCAACAAAAAGAACCTATCCTGAATTTCAGAGGGTTGCAGAAGCAAAAATCTTCTGCACTAGTCTCGGACCGGAGCGGACAACCAAGATCTGAAGCAGCCAAGACACAAGTGATCTCCGGGAGGGACAGACGACGACAAGGCAGCTTGGACCGAACGAGCAAGGGAATTATGAGTGGCCCACCACCAAGTCTTTGACCAATCAATCTGCAATCCCACTACACGTGTCCACTGGGTAGTGACTTCCAAGATCGGCACGCTTGACTGCCCAGGCCCAGTTATCCGCATAGGCGAAAAGCAGTGCAGATTCCAAAACTTGCTGATGGCAAGCCAAAGTCCAACATTGTGCAACCCCAAGCATAACCAAGACAGAGAAGGCATCCCTTTGTGGAAAGCCAGAGCTACTGGCAACCAAATCCGAGCACTGACCACAGACTTCCCAACGACGTGAAAGCCTGTTGAGCGACAAGGGCCACATCCGAACAACTTCCAAAGGCAGACCGAGTCTGGCCAGAATGGCACAATGCCTCTTTGTCTGTTAATGGCGTTAAAACACTTGACTAAGTCGAGCGTGAGGCCCGCACACTGCTCATTCAAGTGATGTGCTACTTCAAAGAACCATTGCGAGCTGTACGCCGCCTGAAAGAGCAGACCAGTGATATCTGGCGACACAGTGAACCTAAGGCGCGTAGCACCTGTGGGATGCCAAACGTTTTGGGAGCAGCAAACACTTTGGCTTCCATCATCCAAGAGGGAAAGCCATCAGTATAGTTATGGGCCACTTCTATCAAGGATTGAAGCAATGGGTCAGGTAGCAGCTGGAGTTCGAAAGCAGCGACTGCTCCAGTTCAGGAGTCAAGAGATGGGAGTCGTCTCTCTGCCAGATTGGTTGCCAAAATTGGGTGAGTTGTTCACAGATTTGCCGGGGATCCGTGGTCAAGACCCGCTGAGTCAAAGAAACATGTTCCAAGTCAGACGGCTCAGAGGAACAAGACAGGACGATAGAATGCTCACGAATATCATGGGTCTGGCCAGGCTGCTGAGCAACTAGTACCGGTTGACCCTTCTGAAAGGCAACTGGTTCTTCCACAAAAGCTTCAAATTTCTCCGGAGCTTTATGACAGAGTCGTGAATGAATTGGGACAAGTATGGCAGTTTGCTCCACCTGATGCTCAATTGATTCAAGTACTGGGGCGGAACCCCGGACCGAAGCAAAAGTATTCTTACTAGCCTTGCCCTCCAACCTACTACCCATGGCCTCCAACCTACTAGCCATGGCCTCCAACCTAGTAGCGATGGCCTCCAACCTATCTACCAGCGATGGCCTCCAACCTACTACCCATGGCCTCCAACCTACCAGCGACGGGCTCCAACCTACCAGCAATGGCCTCCAACCTACTAGCCATTGCCTCCAACCTACCAACGATGGCCTCCAACCTACTAGCCATGGCCTCCAACCTACCAGCGATGGCCTCCAACCTACCAGCGATGGCCTCCAACCTAGCCATGGCCTCCAACCTACCAGCAATGGCTCCAACTTAATAGCGATGGCCTCCAACCTACCAGCCATGCCCTCCAACGATGGCCTCCAACCTACTAGCCATGGCCTCCAACCTAGCAGCGATGGCCTCCAGCGATGGCATCCAACCTACCAGCCATGGCCTCCAAGCAAGAAACGCCCAAGAAGGCTGGGCGGTCGAGTAGACCTGTTCAGTCAACAATCACCCTAGAAAAGACAAAGGACATAAACCCATTATTACTTTTCTAGGAAACTGTTCAGTAAATAGTGGGCCGCGCAGTCTTTAGTGTTTAGTGGCCTCCGGGTTGGTGTTAGCTTGGGTCGAGATGCCCATCTCCTTGGAAGTAGTTCACAAGTTCTTTGATGGGAAGTAGTTCACAAGTTCCTTGGAAGTAGTTCACAAGTTCATTCATCTCCATTTTTGTTGTTGTTGTTGCTGCCAAGAGTTCGTCTGCAAAACAAAGACTCATCATGAATCATCACAGCCTATCAGATATGACAGTCATCTTTCATTTATCGTTTGATTCTGGCCTTTGCTGAGGTACAAGACCATCCAGTGTACCAGTTGAGCAGGAGTACCGGTTGAGCAAGGCATGAAATCCATGCTTGGACTCGGTTTCATTGAGCAACGCTTTTCTTACAAACTTTTCCAGCAAACGTAACTCTGGGATGTTGTCAGCAGCACGACAATGCTTCAACCTAGGGGCCGGGCCCGGTCTCTTGCAACCTAGCAGGAGAAAATCGCAGAGCGTTGGATTGCAATGCAAGGTGTCGACTTCAGCCCTGCAGGGAAAGAAAGCACCTCCTCCTCATCATCAACAGGCATCGGCTCGGCATCATCAGGAGCCATCCACTCCATTGGGGTTGCCATTGTGAAATGGTTGAAATGGCCATTGTTCCGAGGCTTCAAACACAAAGGGATTTCGGCAAATCCCCCTAGCGAGTGGGTGATAGAAATCAGCTCCAACCTACTAGCCATGGCTTCCAACTAGCCATGGCTAGCGATGGCATCCAACCTACTAGCCATGGCCTCCAAGCAAGAAACGCCCAAGAAGGCTGGGCGGTCGAGTAGACCTGTTCAGTAAACAATCACCCTAGAAAAGACAAAGGACATAAACCCATTATTACTTTTCTAGGAAACCGTTCAGTAAATAGTGGGCCGCGCAGTCTTTACTGGCTTCCGGGTTGGTGTGAAGTAGTTCACAAGTTCTTTGATGGGAAGTAGTTCACAAGTTCCTTGGAAGTAGTTCACAAGTTCATTCATCTCCATCTTTGTTGTTGTTGTTGCTGCCAAGAGTTCGTCTGCAAAACAAAGACT